GTAAAAAGACCAAGAAGAAAACCAGGAGGCGCAGAGCCAAGGGGGAGTGGAAGAGGCAGTCGGAGGATGAGTGTTTCCGCTGTGGTGACGGTGGGCAGCTGGTGCTGTGCGACCGCAAGCTCTGCACCAAGGCTTACCACCTGTCCTGCCTGGGCCTGGGCAAGCGGCCCTTCGGTAGGTGCTGGCGCTGCCCAGGGCAGATGCCCTGGGCCAGGGGTCCTGCTGCAGCCCCCACAGGGCTGGATGAGCCCGCGGGGCTGCGGCTGGGAGGGGTGTCTGTCTCTCAGCCACCCAGGGGCCAGGCCTGGCTGCACCGTGCCCCAGGCCCTCCCCAGAAGGCACTGCAACTGTGATTTCCGAAGAGGGTTATTTTGTTACTGGAGATTAAACCCAGGGCCTTTGCACTGAGCTACATCCCCATCCTTTTTTCTTTTGAAACAGGTTGTTGTTTTTTTTCCAGCACCAGGGAGCAAGCCTTGTGCTTGCAAGGCAGGCACGGCACCACTGAGCTAAATTCCCAGCCCTGAGACAGGGTCTTCTGAGTTGCCAAGTTGCTGAAGGAGATCCAAATGTGGGATCCTCCTGCCTCACTACCAGAGTGCTGGGTTAATTACCGGTGAGCAGCACTGTGCCTAGTTTCAGAGGAGAATCGAACAGGCCCTGACCCAAAGACAAACACAGAGCAATAAAAAGTCAGGTGTTTGGAAAAAATGTTCTTTAAAATACATTTTTTGTATGGCAAATGATAAACCGAGGTTACCAGGTGAGAATATTTCCAGAGGGTGAGATGGTTCCTCCTCCTGTGACAGAGGCCTATGAGTCAGATCGGCAGCCAAATAAACAATCAGTCCCTCATGAATGGGCAGCCAGAGCAGCAGCAGCTGTCCCAGCTGCTGGTCCAGCTCAGCTTTGGGACACAGCTGCCAGAGTGCAGGCTCCCTGGGCAAGGCCCAGCCCCCGCAGTTAGCAGTGTCCAGGGCCTCAGCCCCTCCCCCGTTTTGTTTTGTTTTGGGGGTACTGGGGGTGGGAGCTAGGGCCTCTTGCATACTGGGCAAGAGCTCCTCACTGAGCTATACCTGAGCCCAAGCATTAGCTTCTCTTTGGCAGTAAATAAAAGGAAGTATTTTGCATTGATTTGCATTTGACTAGATGATTTTGGATTTTTATAGTAGTGGGACTGAACCGCAGGATGCTATACCACTGAGGTACATCCCTAGCCCTTATTATTTTTTGAGACAGGATCTTGCTAGGTTGCCTAGGCTAGCCTTGAACTTATGATCTGCCTGGCTCAGCCTCCCAGGGTTCTGGGATTACAGGTGTGTGGCACCATGCCCTGCTTAGACAGCTTTGCAAAGCATTACCTGGGCATTGCCTGGAATCCTGGCTGCTCGGGATGGTGAGGCAGAATGGCAAGTGTGAGGCCAGCGTGGGTAGAGACCATCGCTGATGGAGAGTTGGGGCTGTGGATGTTGGGTCAGTCACAGCTGAAGGCCCTGGGCTTGACTCCCAGCACGTTGTCCCAGCTGTCACCTGCGGCCCTGACGATGTCTCAGGAGTGACTGTCACTCCGTGCTGACGCTGTGCTCTGTTGCAGGGAAGTGGGAGTGTCCGTGGCATCACTGCGATGTGTGTGGCAAACCTTCCATGTCGTTCTGCCACCTCTGCCCAAATTCGCTGTGTAAGGAGCACCAGGACGGGGCATCATTCCGCACTGCGCAGGACGGGCAGACCTACTGCTGCGAGCATGACTTGGGGGCACAGGCAGGGCTGCGCAGTGGCAAGGCCGAGAAGCCCCTTCCAGAGCCGGTGAAGTCCAAGGGGAAGAGGAGGAAAAGGCGGTGCTGGCGGCGGGTCACGGAGGGGAAATAGCGCCGGGAGCCGCTCGGTCTGGTCCAGGGTGCCGGCCGGCAGCCTCAACAGATGTCCAGGTCCCCAGGAGGGAGCTCCCACCACTGAGCCATCGCAGCAGCTGGCTGCACCCGCACTGACGCCCACCGCCGGGCCTCTGCTGGGGACCAGGACAGAGCAGCCTCTGGCAGCGACACCTCAGGGCCGGGGCGCCAGGTCTGCCGGTCTCTGTGGCCAAGCCGCGAGGAGCATGGCATGAGCCTTCTCCCTCCGGGGGCCAGCGTAGTCTCCTGTGGGCCATTGTGCCTGTGGTCACCCTGGAGTCCAGCAGTCCTGGATTTTGACCTTCTTTTCCTCTTTGAAACAGCTGTATGTTTTCTGTACTAATGTGAATTTTTCTCAACACTTCTCTTCCAGCCGAGGCTGGCCCCATGTGGGCACTGCTGGTGGCTCCTGCCGGCTGCTCTTCCTCTGGATTTGGACTGACGCCCGCCTTGGAAGCGTTGGCCGCACAGAGCAGCCCTCCCCAGGTCTAAGGAACACACTGGGTTCTTAGCAACATTTCGGGGAAGCTTTGTATATTTTTTTAAAATTTGGCTTTTCTTTATCAGTTTTTGGTTTTTATCTTCAATGTATTTTTGCTAAATCTGTCTCACAAATTACCACCAAAACATGTCATTTCCTGATGTGCCCAGAGCTCTCCTGCAGCAGCAGCAGCAGCGAACTAGTACTGTTGAGTGCACAGCAGCAACACCATGGGTCCAACTGAAGGGCAGCCCTGAGTGCCAGCACCACCCAGGGGTGTGCACCAAGCGGCCCTGGCCTCATCTGTCGCCAGGCTCAGTGCCACTCATTTCCCTGTGAGGTTTCATCGCCTGCGATCAGTGAAAGGTCTGGCCCAAGAGCCAACGAGAAATCCCAGGCCGTCCTCGAAGATCTGGTCACCTGACTCCAAGCTGTTCTCACCACATCCCTGCTCCAGAACCACCGCTGTCCTCGGGAGGCCACTGCGGTCACCCCCACTGCTCTCCTGCCCCTCACCATGCAGACCTGCAGTCTGCACTTAAACCAGGACTGGCCATGCTCGGGGTTTGTCAGGGTGAGGACCTGCCCAGCTCTGGGTGAGAGGAGTCAGTACCCCTCCGCCTGCTTGGCTGGTTTGGCCGTGGTCCAGGAAGGGACCCAAAGGAAACAGCAGCTTTGCAGCTGGCTTGTTCCTGTAGTCTGTTACCTCTGGAGACCGCTTGCCTGGTGAGAGGCGGCTGGGCTGTTTCTCAGCGTAGAGCCTAATTTTGCTGTCTGTCCTCAGAAGATTGTTCACAGATTTCTGCTCCTTCTGCCCCACACGGAAGGCTGTTCCAGTGACAGGGTGGGCAGTGTCCCAGCCTGTGGAACCCAAGGCCCAGGCTCGTCGGACAGGCGCAAGCCAGCGTCGCCACTCGTCCCGAGATCCTTTCCCAGCAGCTGAGTGACTTCCACATAAGTCAGTATCAGAGGTGGCTTTGCAGTGCACTTTGGGGAGCAGATTAACTTATTTTTGTATTTGACAGTAGTAAAATCTTATGATTTTTGAGTCACTTTGATATTACTTCCAAATTATTTTAGGATCTTTCTGAAGGAAATAATTGCAAAAAGTGATAACCCTTTCCAAAGGCTTCTAATGAACAAATAACACTAACTTTGAAAATCCGTATTAGACCAGTTTAGAGATCTGAGCACCAGGCTTTGAGGGTGGTCCAAGGTGCCAAGGGCCTTTCCTGCTGGGTCTGACAGGCATGCGGTGGTGGCTGGGCCTCCTGTTCTGAGCCTGGGGAGGTTTGTTCTGAGGATTCAGTGACCGAGTGTCAGCTTCAGTTCCTGGTCATTATTGTGAAGCATGGCAGCGTCAACTGCCCAACATCCCGGGGCTTGGTGTTGGGGCCCACAGCCTCCGTGTGCAGCAGGTGGCACCCTGCGTGAGCCGAGTCCCTCTGTGGCCACACGAGAGCTCAGCCACAAGTGCACCCCACCAGGCAGCTGTGACTCTGCCTCTGTGGGGAAGGCCTTTGGCAGAAGGGTGGTGAGGGCCAGGCTGTCCCTCCTCTGCCGTGACACCACCCAGGGTCCCCAAGTCCCCAGCACACTCAGGCTGGCACTTCTAATGCCTTCAAAGTATGGACCTTGGCATCTGAACCATGCTGATGTGCACAGTGCCCGCCTGCCAGAACTACCTGATTTTTAAGGTTTAACAGATACTGAGAATAACTGCCAGTTGCCACGCGTCTTGGGCTCTGAGCAGTGTACCGGTGACTGTCGGTCAGGAGCGCGACACGCCGTGGTCTACTAGGTGTCACGGAGTCACCATGCCATCAGAAGCCTGCCTACTGGGTCTCAACTCCACATGATGGGAGGTCAGGTTCCGTCGAGGAACACTGGGTGCTAGCTATCACCAGGTTTCATAGTTAGATTTTAAAACTTGAAATTCACCTTTTTGGGGGGAGGGGGGGATACATACTGAAATAGATTCGAGAATTGCCAGTTGGGGGGGGGGATAGCATTTAAAGTGGAAATTTGTGTTTGAAAAACTGTGTATGAGTATTTTTGTATTAAAAGCATTTTAAAGGCCTTTTTCTTCTACTTATTTCATAGAGGCTGTGCTTTGACTTCCCTATTTCCAAAGGGCTCTGAATTCCAAAGGAAGGACTAGCCGTGTGTGTGCACGTGTGTGTCCCTGCCTTGGGAAATGGAGCATATGCTGCAAATACAGTAGGGTTCTACTTTGGGGAAAATGCTTTCCTTCACAAATAATGTGGGCAGGGGTGGTGGCACATGCCTGTAATAATCCCAAATAAGAGGCCGAGGCAGGAGGACCTCAAGTTTGAGGCCAGTCTGGGTAGACTGTCTTGGATGAATAGAAAGTGGGTTGCAGATAGAGCTACGTGCCCTCTGGGCTCAAGTCCCGACAGTGCAGAAGTTTCCCACTAAGGGTGAAGGAAGGGAGTGGGGCAGCTGTCTGTGTCCCAGCCCTGTGGCAGGGCACCCAGGCAGCCCCCAAGCTCTCTGCCTCCCACCAGGGCCTGCGACCCCGTCCCCCTGGGTTCTGGCAGCTGCCCCGGAAGAGGCTGTGCACTGAGCTCGGTCAGCTGGTCTGAAACAGCCCTGGCAGCCTCCTGTAGAAAAGCTCAACTTTAATCCGGTCTTACGCGAGCAGGTCCTGGAGACCGGCCAACGTCCACGACTACAAAAGACAAATATAAGCTGCAGGCATGGGCGGGCGGGGCCCGGCAGCTCCAGCTTGGCGCTGCTAGGCCCATTCCTGGCCATCCTCGTCAGCACCACACCACCTCTGGGCCCCTCAGCCTCACGGGGAGGGCGTCACAGTAGCAAGAAGGCCTCGCACTCAGCAGGATTTCTTTCAGGAAAAAACGAGAAAGGTAAAAGTCTTAACAGGCACTAGATTAGGAAGTTGTAACTTTTTTGGTTTAACTTCAACGTTGAAAAATGTAATATTGAATCCAAAAAAGTACTCTGATCACACAAAAAGTAACCCATAATAAAATATGAAAGATAAGCCCCAAACACCTCAGAGAAACAATTGAAGACTTAAACAGGCCAGGGCCAGCAGGATGTGGGTGGCCAGTCTGTCCCTCAGAACCCAGAAGGCAGGGCCATGAGCCAGGCGGCCTCAGGACACGTTGGTCATGGGCTTGTACTTCTTGAAGCGTGTCCACTGGCCCGTGGCGTAGTTCATCTCAAACACCGTGTCCACCAGCATGGTGGTGCTGCCCTGGCCATCAGCCTTGGGCAGGTCTTCTGTGTGCTCGCTGAGCTTGATCTGGATCACGTCCCCCTGCTCCTGGCACGGGTTCTCTGTGGGGACAGGGATGTCTGGGCAGGGCGCGGGGCCAAGGGCCCGCCCACCCACGCCGCAGGGGTGCCATGGGACATACCTCGGGACCCTGCCATGAACCCCAGGATGAGGGCCTTCTCGGGCCGCGTGACCTTGTTGGCTGTCTTGAACATCTCCTGCGCAGCGAACATCTGCTCTCGCTGTGGACAAGGGAGGCGTGGGTGCCCAGGCCAGCAAGTCGGCACAGCCCTGCCACCCTGCTGGGACCCACAGGCCCAGCAGAACGCCTACCGTGAGGGACAGGTTCTTCTTGGGCTGTGGCTGGGCAGAGGGCTGGGTCTGCGGGGCCACCATGGCCACAGGGGGTGTCTGGGCAGCGGGGGCCACAGCCGGCTGCGTGGTGGGCGTCAGGGGCGAGGTGGGCGCTGCAGGTGTTGGCGCAGCTGGGCCCAGACAGCTGTTGTACATGGGTGCCCTCTGCTTGAACTGTGCCGGCAGCGCGGGGCTCGGGGTCCCGGGCTCCTCGGGTGGCCGGCTGGCCTGCAGGCTGGCTTCTCGGGACGGTGGCCCTGCAGGGCACAGGGCCACTGAGGGATCTCCGGAGCCCTGCCCAGCCCTCTTCAGGTCACCTGCACTGCTGTCCCCAGGCCCCTTCACTGCCTGAGGCAGGTTCCCCACCCACAGACCAGACCACAGCAATGTCCCCAGGGCCCTCCTGCCAGCCTGAGGTGAGCCCACCCCTGCCCAGTAACCTCCCAGCTAGGAGAGCAGGGCCCAGCCCATGGTCGGCTCCTCCAGGAACCCTGGGGCCACAAGGGCTTGGGGACAACAACTGGGGACCGAGGGTGACACCACGGAGATCGGACTCTGGACCTGTAGCTGCCCACCTGGGCAAGGCCACCCTGAGTGGATGTGCTGAGCTGCACTGGGCGGCTGCACTGAGGAGCAGGTTGGGGAGGCTGCCCAACCTTGTGGCCCGCTCACCTTGGGGCGCCTCGGAGCTGGGGACATAGGAGGACGCAGGGACCACACTGGGTGTGGAGGGCAGGTAGCTGGTAGATGGCAGTGCGGGCTCACTGCTCAGAGGCCCGAGTTTCTGGAAGACAGAGGCCACAGTCACTCCCAGCAGAGGCCCAGCTTCCAGGGTGACAGCAAGAGTTTGGCCCTGTCCCCAGCCCCCAGAGTCCTTAGGAGGGGGCTCCCACACCATTGCTGGACAGAGGAGGGTCAGCACTACCTGCCTTACCACCAAAGCACTCGGTCAGATGCACGCACTCTAGCAAACAGCTCCGCCACCGTAGGAGGAAGCCCACCCGTGACACAGCTGCTACTTGGGGAGTGCTCGGGCCCCTCACCCACCTGGCACCCCTCTGGCACGCGCGGCAGGGGACGCCACGCCAGGGCCTCGGCCACGCCGCCTCTCATGCACACACGCAACTGCACGCAGCAATGCCACCTTCCCAGGATGCGCAGCTGCAGCAGGAGGGCACCTGCTTGGCTTCACCACAGCCTGTGGCAGATGCTGAGGCGGCGGTGGCTGGAGACTGCGCTGCACAGAGCCCTACCTGTGTGGACACAAGGCCGGCTGCATAGTCCGGGGTGGCATTCTCCACGACTGTCTCCTCCTTGGCCGACTTCTCCACCACCTCTGCATCTGTGTGCAAAGACGTGTTCTCGTCAGGGACCCCTGGACTTGGGGTGAGGAAGTCACCGGGCTGACAAATGGGGGCCTTGGGCCTTGGCAAGAAAGCTGGGTCAGGTAGAGCAAAGGGAGCCCCACCTGGCCACCCACCCAGCCACTGCCAGGCGGGGGGCCTACACACCCAGCGTCTTCCTCCGCCGCTTCGCCTCACGGCCGGCGCCCACTGTGTCCAGCTCAGAGATGTCGAGGAGCTGCAACAAGAGAGCACACTCAGGGCTGTGTGCAGGCCCAGGGCCCAACCCGCGCGCAGAGCAGGGCCGGGGCCCACCTTCACACCCCTTTCCTTCCGCAGCGGGGTCCTCGACGGTGGGATCGGGGTCCGGTTCCCGGCAGGGCTAAAGACGCTGGGTGTGGTGGGGCTCCGGAAGGGCGCCTGCTTCGGGATGCCTTTGAGCGGGGCTGCAGGGAGGGTGCTGTCAGCGAGGGGAGGACAGGGTCTTGTGCGTGTGTGCGTGTGTGCGTGCGTGCGTGGGGGCTCTCCCTGCAGCACTGAACAGTGGGTGCGGCCCTGCCCCAGGGCCTTGTCAGGGCTCTGCCGGCTCCTCCTCCTCCTCCTCCTCCTCCTCCTCCTCCTCCTCCTCCTCAAGGGCAGAGGAGTCAGGGCAACAGGCCTGGCCAGCAGGCACAGCGAGGGCCTGGGTCTGGCCTGGGGGCCCATTCCCTTGGCAGCACCCTTCACCCCGCTAAGCCTGTCCACCCCGCGGACACTGCAGGTCCGGAAGGCAGCTGTCCTGGGGCCCCGTGGCCTCACTCGTGGTGTCCATCTTGCGGAGGAGCCCGCGGCCCTTGGCATGGAACGGCACCCCCGTGCTCCTCTTCAGTTGCTGCGCTGTCTCGGTGGCTGTAGAGGGGTCACAAGTGTCAGGGGGACAGCGTCTCCCACGCAGTCCCTCGGGCTCCCACGGTGCTCGGCCTAGGTTTCCCCTCACAGATGCACAAACAGCCACAGGCCGAGGTGACCGGCGAGGGGGCGAGGGGGCAAGTGAGCGCTCTCCCACACAGCGGCGTGCCCAGCCCCGCCGCCCTTCGGGTCTGAGGCAGGCCAACAGGGACTCTAGGGTGGCCCAGCACCCGGGCCCCTCAGAGCCTCGGAACAGTGCCAGACGCTGCTCTTCCTGCCAGCAGTCGCAGATGCTGCCCTGAGGCTCCCTCAGACTCCTGGTACAGGGCACATGTGTCAGTCAAGTCCACTCCATGACTACTCAAAATGAAACAGCTCCTAAAACCCACGTCTGCTTCTGAGATGGGCTCTCACTACCTTCCCCAGGCCAGCCTCCAACAACCATCCTGCCTCAGCCTCCGGAGCAGCTGGGATTGCAAGCATGTGCTGCCACCGCTGGCACACTGGTCTCTTAAAAGTCTTAGAAATCAGGAAAGACTAAGTGAAAACCAAAAGCCCCAGCCGCAGCAGCGCAGCAGGCCACAGGCGACACTCACACTTCTGCAGCAGCTCGGCGCGCAGGGTGGCGCTCTTGGGCTTGCGCTTCAGCTGGAAGTGCTTCACAGGCGGCGTGAGCGGCCCGGCCAGTGTGGTCAGGGCATTCTTGTTCAGGTACTGGCACTCCAGTGGCAGCATGGCGGACGCCTCACATTCGCCCACTGCGGAGACACCTGTCAGGGGCGCCCCCAGCCGCAGGAAGAGTCCAGCAGGCTCTGGCCTCCCCAGGGCCATCGGCGGGGACGACTGTGCCCTGCGACCCTAGATGCCCCAGCAGCAGGTCGACAGCAGGCCCCTGAGGGCTCGGGGCACCCTCTGGGGACAAGACCCCCACACATGCTTCCTGGGGCCATGAGGTCACCGGGGGCTGCAGCTCAGTAACCCCTGAGGGAGATGACAGGGGTTCCTGCTGCTGAAACAAGTGACAATGCTACTTGGAGCAAAAACATTGCCTCCCGGGGACAGGAGGCGCCCTGGGCCCTGCCCAAGGGACTCGCAGCAGCCTCCGTGCAGGCTGAGCAGCTGCACCATGTGGAAAGCACACAAGCTTGGCCTCGGCCGCCCCATCCTGGCCCAGGTGCAGCCTTCCGGCCCAGGCCTGGCCCATCTGCAGGGGCTCGGGGCACAGCGGCTGCTCCCCAGGGGTGGCGGGCCTGTCCTCCAAAGGAGGGGCGACACGCAGGGCACCAATGCTCCCCAGCATTCTTCAAAGCCACCCACCACTTTCTGACCCAGCTTGCTGAGACCGCAAGGGTCTGAGGCCCACTCTGGGCACAGCCCTGGTGCCTGCGCCCAAGCAGTGGGGATGGAACTCAGGACACGCCAGCCTCTCGGCCAGGCTGCGTTTCCACACCACGCAGAGCACGGTCGACCCTGCAGCAGGAACAGCCCCCACATACCCTTTTCTCTAAGCTCTCCCAAAATATCGTGAACGTTGGGGTTCTGCTCCTCAAGATCAAGGTTGAGTGACCCCGTGTCAGGGAAGGACTTCAGGATGTCGGCAACCATGAGGACCCAGGGGTCCGAGTCCAAGCAGGCGAGCTGGATGATCTCCACGAGGGCGACCTTCATCTGCGAGAGAGGGGACACCATGGCACCGAAGGGCCTGCTGCGCACACAGGAAGGTGCCCCACACACCTCTGCACCCCCACCCAGCTCCCCAGCACCTGGCCCTGCCACTGTCTCCCAGGAACCCACTTCGGGGGCAGCCTGGGTGTGAGGCTGGCCGGGGCGGCACAGGGAGCACCACAGCGGGCAGATGCCTCCACCGCTCCTCGGCACAATCAGCCATGCCCACCCTTGCCACAGGCAGGAGTACAGGCAGGGGGAGCCGGGTGGGAATGGCCCGAGGGAGGGGAGGGATGGAGGGCGGAGGGGGGCGGGCTCCACCCCACTCAGAACCCTCACCCAGTCAACTAAAATTCCACATCGCTGCCCCCTCTCCTGCTCATCACTGGCTCTGGCTAAGAGCTGTGCTTTATGTAGCTTTTAAGAACTACAGTGGGTGGGGTGCAGCTCAGTGGAAGAGCATTCACTTAGCACAGGCAAGGAGGCTCTAAGTCCAATCCCCAGTACCAGAAAAGCCAGCACAAACCAAGTGAGCTCGAGCCAGAATCTCATCACCACACAAGCTGCCGCAGATGCTGCGAGGTGATACTGCTAATTCCGTTCACCTGACCAGCGCACGGGTGTCCAGACATCCGGGCCCAACACTATTCTGGATACGTGCATAAGGGTGCTGCTGGAGGAGATCTAGGAGAGCCAGGCTGAAGCCAACAGAAGGATGGAATTGCCAAACACAGGGATCTCCGCGTGACGATCCATGGAGCAGCCCAGCAGACAACTGTAACTGTCAAGCGGGTGCCGTTCCCTCTCACTGACAGCAGTGCGGTGAGCGTCCAGCGCCCCACACAGCACAGCTGAGCAAAGGAGGTCTACCGAGCACTCGAGCCATCCCAGCACTGGAGAACGCACATGCTCACCAGGCTGGCTCACAGCGTCTGCAAAGACCAACCATGTATTTTCCACCAGGCAAATCCTAAACTTCAAGCAAATGAAATAATCTGGACTATATTTTCTGACAAGACCTCGATACAGGTAGAAATCACTAAAACAAAAAACTAAAACCTCTTCCCTTTGAATGTGTGGGAATTAAGAGGCATTTCTAGGGCCAGGGATTTAGCTCAGTGGTTTCACCGCCTGCTGCGCAAGCACAAGGACCCGAGTTCAATCCGCTGTACCAAAAAAAAAAAGAGGCATTTCTAAACTACACAGGAGTTGGTAAAAAATATCACAGAAATTTGAAAATACTGGAACTTAATCCCATGTATCAAACGTTTGGAACGCAACTAAAGCTGTAATCAGAAGAATATCCATGGCCTTATATGCAAATATTCAAAAAGAGCTGGATGCAGTGGCACACACCTGCCTGTAACCCCAGCCACCTGGGAGGCTGAGGGAGGATCACAAATTCAAACCCAGACTGAGAAGTTTAGTGAAATCCCTTCTCTCAAACTTTTATGGCTCAGCGGTAGAGCACTGGCCTAGCATATGGAAGGGCCTGGGCTCAATCCCCAGGAAAAAAGAGGAAAAGAAGGCTTAAAAAATGAGGTTTGCTTCTTAACAGCTTAGGAAAAAGAAAAAAAATTATGCAAAAATTAGGGAAACAAATCAAAAGTCGATGCTCTGGGACCGGGGATTTAGCTCAGTGGTTCCACCGCCTGCCTCGCAACCGCAAGGTCCTGAGTTCAATCCCCAATACCAAAAAAAAGTTGCTACTCTGAAAAGTCTCCTAAGTGACAAACATCTGATGAGATGGGTCAAGAACAGGAAAAATGGAAAGGGGAGTGTCCCTACCTGCGCTCTGACATTGAGGCCAAAGGACATCATTAACTACTCACTGCTAATACACCGAACATTATCAGAAATGGCAAAATTCCTAGAAAAATATACAATCAAAACTTAAACTTAGGAATGTAAAACCAAAATATCAATGCTCAAAAGTCTTCCCATAAAAAAAAAATCCCAGGCAGTAGGCTTCACTATCGAGTTCTACCATTTATGAACAAATAATTCCCCTATTAAACACAATTTTCAAAGAAAAATACATGGGACACAACTCCTGTATAATGGTAGGACAACACCTTCAATACCAAAATCCAGCAGACAAACTGCAGCTCACGCACCCCATTCACACACTCCTAGGTGTGCAGCAAGGGCACTGAGCGTGCCCTGCACAGACATTCACAGCAGCACTATTCCTAACAGCCAGGAATGGCGACAACCTAAATGTCCACCAGCTGCTGACTGGATGGACAGACAGACGGCCTGCCCACACACCACGCAGCAGGAAGGGGCGCACAGACAGGGCCGCAGGGTGGAGGCCCCCTGAAGCACACACTGCCTGAAAGACGCCAGGTGCAAACACCATGCCTGGTGTTACGGTTACAGGAGGGACACGGGGGACACAGCCTGTGAAGTCCAGGGTAGGTCAGGGGTTGCTCAGGACTGGGGGACTGCAGAGTCCAGAATGGGGGTGCCGAAAAGGTTTTAAAACTGACTAGGGAGATCAATTTTGTGAATATTTAAAAATCACTCCATTGTACATTTTCAAAGGTGAACTGCAAGGTGTGTGAATTACACGTCAATCAAGCTGTTTTAAAAACTCACTCAAGTGGAATGTTATAGCGCCTGCCTGTATTTCCAGCACTCATGAGGCTGAGGCAGGAGTTTTCAACCAACCTAGGCAATGTACCAAGACCCCATGTGGGGAAACAAGTAGTAAAAAGACCTCCTTTATAATTAATAGAATTTTGGGGGAACAATATGGGCAAAACAGTCAAAGTCCTGTGTGATCATAAATAAAACTGTGGCACAAAAAAGTCCTGGTGAGCACAGTTAAGACACAAAAAAGAAACTAAATATTAAGTACACGGCAAAATCAAGAAGATTCTGCAGAAAAACTGCAATTAGTAAGATTCCAGCAAGAAGCTATGCAAACTCAGTACCTAAAATTCAACGGCAGTTCAATTTATCAAGTAGAAAATATAATTTTAATAGGTACTATTTACAACAGCATGAGAAAATATCAGGTAAGAATAGAAAATGGAAGGCCTCTACAGAAAAAAATCATAAAACTATGATGGATCTACCTAGATATGCCTGTATCCACGAGCTACAAGAATCCATCCATACTGTTGTAGAATCCAAGACAAGAGACCAATGGGAAACAGGAGGATTTATTTAGGTTTTAGGTGAACATGGGCTCAAGAGACTAATATCCAAAGGAAGAACAGAGAACAAAGGAAAGATTCCAGTTTTATACATTTGGCCCAAGGGGATGGTCTTTCTAGTGATAAGAGAGCAAGCAAGTTTACATGAAACAGGACAAAGGCAAATGGTTTTTTAAATTTAGCCTTGAAAGAAGACAGCCTTGTGAATCTTACAAGAGGATTTAAGCTTTGTTCATAGGACATAGTTGCCAATTTTATCTGTAACAGAACAAGGAGTTATATAGCTGCAAGGGAAGAAAAGGGGCTGTGATAGGGGGCCAAGGCTGGGGAAAATTTGTTTTTCTTTAGGTCCTGTTTCAGTATGATTAAGAAGATGCCACTATACATTCATAAATGTCTTAAGAGTCCCAGCAGGGTGCATGTAACCTAAGAAGTGAATATAAAGTACACAAGCAGGTGCAAAGGACCAAGAAAAGCCTGTCATGAACAACAGCACAGGTTTGTTCTGCCTGTCAGCTGACAGCAACTGACCTGGCCAGTATCAGGACAGTGACCCACAAATGGCTTCAAAGAACAGACACCAGACACCGACGCAGCAGTGACAATCCAGATCCATTCCCATCAGCAGGGCTGGGCCACATGAAAACTCGATTCCCAGCCGCACACAATCACCCCTTCTAGGGGAATGAAGAGCCGAGTGTGAATGGCAAAAGTCTGCCAAGGGGACACAGCACAGGACCTGGCCTACATTTCCTAAAACCAACTAGAGGCAGAGCCAAACCTGGCCACCCAAAACAAAGAGCTTCTGCTCCTCCTAAGAAAGGCTATGCCCAGGAGACACTGACAACGTGTACTAAAGGGGAAGATCTCTCTCCTCCTCCTCCCTAAGGAACAGAGAAGTCACAAAAAGCAAATAAACACATGAAATGATCTTGGTCCACAGCAGTAACAAAGCAGATACAAATTAAAACCACCTAGTAATATTTATGTACCCACTAGACTGACGTTTTGGTAATAACTCTGAAAAACAATTTAGCATAATTCTAATACCTCTACAATTCCATCTCTAGGTATTCTACCCTAGAGACACGCACTTACAAGGATCCAAATACACACACGATAACAGGGGTAAGAGCATTATTCACAACAGTGAAAAAACCTAGCTATAACCTGAACGTCTCCCCATGCCAGGACGGATAAAATGGTGTGTGCTCAGAGAAAGGAATACCATGCAGGTGAGAAAATTAAACCTGGTCCAATGCAACTTGGATCAATCTGTCAAGGTGCACAAAGACACACCCACCACACCCAAAACGATACCTTAACATCAATTCAAGTTAGGCAACCCCAACTCTCCTGTTTAGCAGTGCCCCATTCCCCCACCTGAGAGGAGAGAGAGCTGAGATTAGGGATGGGGGCTGGTTCTGAGGAGTAACCGTTTCTCCACTTCTCCGCTCGTGAGGATTACAGAAGGGGTCGCTCTGCTGTAACCCTTAGCTGAAGTGAACCACGCACTGTTGCACGCACTTTACGGATCAACGAAAACCAATCATAACCTGCGTAAAGACATAAAAGTAATACAACAGTAGCTGGGAGCATTTAAACGACTACGGTGTTTCAGTGTTTTTCAAAGCTCAAGTTTATTTCGCACGGAATGATGCGATTGTGATCTTTCAGGAAAAAAAATCAAATCTGACGTAACCACTAACCATAACCACGCAAAACCAGCGTGTTAGACTTCAGAGTGACCTCGGACCCGGGTTGTGGGCGAGGAGGCCCGCATGCCGCACCTACCCGCTTACCCGCCGCGCCTCGCCGTTCGGCTCCCGGTCCACAGCCCAACCGAGACCGGGCGGAGCAGGCGGGGTGAGGACCCGGGGACCCGGAATGGTCAGGCCCGGGCGGCGGGGTTCCAGGCCCCAAGAGACCCGGCAGGCAGGAGGGCCCGGCAACCCCGCCTCACCTCGTCCACTGCGCGGCGCGGGAGATGCAGCGTCCCGAGCAGCAGCTTGAGCTTCACGGCCGACGAGAGGCGGTGAAAGCAGAGGCGGATGTTGTCGATGACGGCGGCCGTGAGCAGGGACGCGATGCTGGGCGGCGCCCACAGCTCGTCCGTGGCGCCCAGCTTGTTGTGCAGCCACAGGCCCGTGTCGCTCTCCCGCATGGACGCCATCTTGGGGGCCACGGCGCGCGCGGGCCGGCGCCTTGTGCGGACGCCTACGCGCCCCCGCCGAGGACCCCCAACATGGCGGCACCCGCGGGCGAGGGGCGGAGCCTCGGAAGAACGCGCGCGGCGGAAGGTCGCCGCGCGGCCAGCCGACGGCTGCGGATTGACCCCCGGGAGCAGGAGCGACGGCGCGCCGCGAGGAGGCCCGTCGGCTTCCGTAGTGCATCACGAAGGTGCCCGCGCAGCGCCCGGAGATGACGTCACGCGAGACGAAGTCGTGTCCGCGAGACGCCACGGCCGCCGGCGCGGGTCAGCCTGCGGCCTGTGAGTGCAGGAGTCGGACTGGAGTTTGGCCGGGCGCTCGGTTCTAGTGCTGCGCTCCGCCTCTGCCGCGGAGAGACCTGCCGGACCCAGCTCAGCCGAATAGGGAGCCCTCACTGTGCTCCGTGTGCCCACCCAGCGGCGAGGCTGCCCGGGGTCCGCACCCACCCAGGTGGAAGGGCACAAGTACTTCGGGGACTCGACGCGGCCCGCGGGTGATGCTGCACCGGGCTCTGGAAGCTTCTGGCCGGGCTGCCTCGGTGCCCAGCCAGGTGCTGGAGCTGCCTCGCACGCGCTTGCAGGAGCCCACTGCTTCCTTCGCGGGAACGATGTGGGTTTGTCATCAAGTACGGATGTCGTAAAAAATTAAACTTCATTTTTATTAGTTCATTTTTATTATTTTACTTGGAAAGAAGACTCCCAGAACTGCTTCAGGAAGTGGCAGTGTTGTATGAAATCGACTGGGAAAGACAAACCGACTCAAAAGAGATGGAGGAAAGCTTTATTTGACCTGCCGGTCCAGTGGAGCTAGGTGCTTCGTAGAGACCTGGGTCCCGAAATTAAAAAAAAATAAAATGGAGTTGTATACAGTAGTTTAAGTCGGGGTGGTCATGGGATGAGCGATAACGTAACTGTCTTGAGGTTGGAGCTTTCTTTAGGAACAGGGTATTCACAGAGCATAACAGAACAGGATACATATTGTGAGCGTTGAGGCTAACCCTATACATTTTCAAGGGCAACAGTATATATTGTGAAGAAAAAAAAAATATATATATATGGCTTACATTGTGATTATAAAGTATCACTCATTGGAAGTGGTTGTGGACTGCCTGTTTCTGGGTAAATAGGAACAAAATAAAGGCCTGTGAGAATTCTGAAGGCCTAAAAGTTTAAAACTTCTGCATTAGCGACCAATGGAATAAGTGTGTCCAATGTGAGGGTATTTTGAGGGGGATTAATGGCAACGTGTCTCACTGTAATAAAAAATTTAACATTTAAACATCACTGTGTATTTTAATCACCCTGTACATTGTGAACAGCATAAGAAGTAACAGGAAATACTCCATTCAAAAGCTATTAAATGATTCAGCTAAGAAATTGCTTGAATCATTGACTAATGGGTGAAGTTCTGACCTAAGTGGGGCTGACGCTAAAAGATATTTAATAATGTAATTTGAAGGTAAGAAATAGTTTAGCAGATGTTTACATCGCAAATTTAATGACTGCATTTTCTGGGAAAACAGTGGTTTGGAATGCAACTCCACTTATCAAATTATGATTAAACTGTAGCCATATATCCACTGAAATAAAAATTTGTTCAGGCAGAGACCTGTATGCAAATGTTTATGGAAGCCCTATTCAAAATAGCCAAAAACGTAAAACAATCCCAGGGGTTCTGATTGTAACCATTTATTGCTTTCCGTAGAATATGGCTTACTTGCTGCATCTGAGTCTTTGGTTTTAGATTTGTAAAACCAATTCTGCATCATCTGGAAAAATTCTGCTTAAAATCTGGTTTAACAGGGCCAGGGATTTAGCTCAGTGGTTCCACCACCTCCCTCACAAGTGCAAGGACCTGAGTTTGATCCCCGGTACCAAAAAAAAAAAAAAAATCTGGTTTAACAAAGATAAGACAAATCTCTAGGAGAAAGGCTTTGCAATATCAAGCAGTAACTGGATTACTATTTATAATGACGAAAGACGTGCCTATAAATGACAACAAAATGATAAACCCAGTAGTCAAGTGGGCAAAAGATTCAGTAACCTAAAAAATACAAACCAAGTTATATCTCATTACATCCATCAGATTACAAAATTACAAAGTCAGGGGTCTTTTTTTAGAAAATGGGTATGTAATGGTTCCAGTACCACTTGTTGAAAAGACTGTGCTATCTTTACTAAACTGCTTTTGGACTTTTGTTAACAATCTGTTGCCCATACGTATGTGGGTTCATGTCTGGAGTGTTCCTATTTATTCATCAAATGCCAGTTCCACAGCCTTGATTATGGTAGCTTTCTAATAAGTCTTGAATTCAGGCAGTGTTACTTCTTTCTCCAACTTTGTTCTTTTGCAAAGTTTATTTTGACTATTTTAGGTCTTCCACATTTTCTTATAAATTTTAGAAGTGTCAATTTCTACCACAAAAAATAAACCCAAAACAAACTCTGAGCATTTTGACTGGCATTGTGTTCTTGTCTATAGACCAAGTTGGAGGAACAGACAGCTGACTTGTGAACGTGCTATATGTATGCATTTATTTGTGTTTCTTTAAATTCTCAGCACCATTTTGCAGTTGTCAGTATAGGTCTTCTACACCTTTTGTTTGCCTCCAAGTATTTCATATAATTTAGTGTTACTGCAATTTTATAATTTTTAACTTGCAAGTGTTTGTTGGTAGCATATTGCAATGCCATTTGTGTATATATTGATTTTGTATCATGCAGCCTTGTTAAACAAGTTTAATTGTTCTAGTAACTTTTCTGTAGATTGTATTAGTTTTCTACAAAGATGTTCATACCATCTGTGAATATGTTGTTGACCAAGGGCTTGATCTCAGATGTCCATGGAAGTCAATACTGTGGCAATGAGTTTTTGCAAAAAGATAAAGCTTGGGCCGGGGATGTGTGGCACCATGCTTGCCTGGCAAGTGCAAGGTCCTGAGTTGGATCCCTGGTACTGAAAAAAGAAAAGATAAAGCTTTACTGAGTGTCCACCTGAGAAGGAGGCCAGGCACTGTATGCTCAATCTGCCTCCTCTTTGAGTTGTGAGTCTAGAGCTGCTTGTTTGCTGGATGCATCCTCACAGGCTATATGTCTCTCTTTGAAATGTTCATTCTTTTTTTTTTTTTTTTTGAGATGAGGTCTCGTTGTGTAGTTCAGCCTACCTTGAACTCACTATGTAGCCCAGGCTGGCCTCGAACTCATGGTGATCCTCCTGCTTCAGCCTCCGGAGTGCTTCATGTCCATTCTTTTTTTTTTTTTTTTTTTTAATTTGTTTTTTGGTACTGGGGATCAAACTCCAGACCTTGCGCTTGCGAGGCAGGCGTTCATATCCATTCTTGAAATGCCAGTTCCAGACAGTAATAATCCTTAGTGAAAGACCTGGAGGCTTTTCTTGAAAGACCAGGAATTTATGACCAGGTGTGTGCAGCCTTACCCAATTTCAAATACAGCTTTATCTGGTCTTCTGATCTATTTGCTTGATTCTGCAACAAAGAATCTCCATTTTTATTTAATTTAAAAGCAATAAATTTTGGTACTTTATTTTCTATATGTTTTAGAGTATAAGTTTCTAAAAAAAAAAAACTGGTGGGATTTTGGATTTGCATTCAGTTTTTTGGTTTGTTTTGGTTTGTTTTTCCGTTTGTTTTCAGGCAGGGTCTTGCTGTGTAATCCAGGCTGGATTTAAACTTTCCATGTAACCCAGGCTGTCCTTGAACTCGCAGAAATCTTGCCTCAGCTTCCTAAGTGCTGGGATTACAGGCGTGTGCCACCCCTGACTGGATTTGCATTGAGTTTGCAGATTCAGTTAGAACCGACATCTTTACATAGTTGAGAGAGGAGGCAAGGCCTAATGTGCTCCAAGAGCCACAGGGACCCCAACACCTGAGACTCCACAGCTGCTCACGGAGACTTGGCTGTGATAGCATCTGTCCCAGGTCCTGCCCAGGTGACTGTCCCAGGCATCTCTGGAAGGTGAGTCCATCCCTCTGCAACTCCATCCTCAAAACTGTCCCCAGTCTGGTCCTTGAAGAGTGGCTCCCTATCCATGACTAAGCAGAACATCTGTGGTTAACTGGCAGGACACTGAGCATACATGACTCAGCCTCTCATCTGTATACACAGCCTTGCCCTTATGGGGTCAGCCTGTGCAGTTTTAATAACACCTCTTCTAGATATCTTTTATTTTGGGGGGCGGGTACCGGGGATCGAACTTGGATCCTTACGCTTGCACAGCAGGCGGGGAAACCACTGAGCTAAATGCCCGGCCCAATATCTTTTATTTATTTATTTATTTATTTATTTATTTATTTATTATTTGGGTACCAGGGATTGAACTCGGGGCCTTGCACTTGCGAGGCAGGCGGCGGAACCACTGAGCTAAGTCCCTGGCCCAAGATAACCTTTTATTTTGTCTCCTCATGATTTCTATCATGGGTAGAGCAGGCTGACCTGGTTACTCTGAGTTGGTAACACTCATGGCTGCTGGCACTGAGGGGCCAGGAGCGGGCTGGTAACACTGATGGCAGCTGAAGAATGGCAGAGTGGTGGTGAATAAGGGAGAGCTCCTGAGAGCTGCCAGCTCCATAAGAGTAGCAAGGAGAGCTGCAGATACTAAACTGACAGCAAATGAACCCTCAGCTAATTGGGGACTTACTGAATGGTAATAGAACAGCAAGGTTTGGAAGGTGATGGGTAATGGGGCACGATGGTGAATGTGATCTTAGGAGGTGGGCCACTGGGGCCGTGACTTGGTAGGGTGGATCTACCCCCTTGGTTCCTTCCTTAACTCTCTCCTTCCTGGCTGCCATGACATAACCAGCTTTCCTCTGCTGTGCCCCTCTGCCATGCTGTTCTGACCTGGAGCCAGTGTTCTATAGACTAATAACTCAAGCCAAATAGACTTCTCCTTGTCTAAAATTGTAGATGTCAGATATTTTGTCCCAGTGATGAAAAAGTGACTAAGACAGATTTTTTTTTTGGTAGTGGGGAGAGAACTTGGGTCCTTGTACTTGCGTAGCAGGCAGTGAAACCACTGAGCTAAATCCCCAGCCCCACTAAGACAGATTTTATTACCAGAGAAGTTAGGTAGTTGCTATGGCACTACCTCAATATGTGGCTCAGAAACCTTTGGGACTGGCTGGCAGGAGGAGTTTGGAA